CCTAGGATTTAGAAATTTTCACTAAAAATTAATAATTTAGATTGATTCTAGTAGTAATATCATGGTAATTGTTCAAACACATGTAATTGTATTTGTAAATACATAGTTACATATATTAAAAGAATCACGAAAACATATAGGTACTTAAAAAAAGAGCAATGATATTGGGACATAATTTGGGGATATAATGCATTATGATCAATGGATTGATAGTGGAATGCATTTAACGCTGCTTTGGGTCCTATCATTAAATGCATTCCACTATGAATTTGTTGGTCCTAATCTATTATGGCCCCAAATTATGTCTCTCAATTACGTCTCAATAGCATTAGTGTTAAAAAAAATGGAATGAGGAAAAAAGTGTAGTAAATTTATTTCAAGAAAGAGCTTAACCACAAGAAGTAGATTTATTTAAGAATAAAATACTACAAGAAGTAGTGTGACAATTAGAAGATGAAACAAATATAATATGGTACGATAGTAGAAACAGATTAAAAAAACATCTATTGATGTTCTTGAAGAATCAAGAGGTAATGGATCATTCGCGAGAGAAACTTAATGGTGGAATGATGAGGTCTAAGTTGCGGTAAAGAAAAAAGAGTGCACTATAAACCATGGCAAAAAACTAAAAACAACGAGAACTATAAAAATTACAAGCCTGCAAATTAAGAAGTAAAAAAGTGGATAAAAAAATCTAAGTATGAAGCATATGATGATTTTTACTCTAAACTACACTGATTGAGAAAAAGTATATATAAACTTTCTAAATTAAGAGAAAGAAAAACTAAAGATATTGATCATACTAAATGTATTAACTATTAAGAATGGAGATTCTAGAATTTAGAATTTTGGTACAAAATGAGAAAATTAAAGAAAAGTGAAATAATTATTTTTCAAGTTACTAAATAAAAGCCATATAGGACGCTTAGACATTGAGGATTATAAAAATCATTTATTGATCAGAGAAAACACATTTTTTCATAGGATTAGGATGTTGAAGGTAAATGAAGACATGAACAACTTTAGGACCGGAGGGTATATCTTGAATTATGGAAGTGTCTAGGGGATGTTGGGGCATTTGTCAGATCCCGTATAAAATTTAAAGATGAATAACATGATATTAAGAGTATTTCCAAAAGAATGATAGAAACTTTGAATCGTTGTTGAAAGATTGACCTTGAAGTTTAGGTTTTGCATATATTGACTTTCGTGTCGATAGTTTCGGAGTTGTTTAAGCTTGAGAATGGTGATTAGGTAAGTTCCTAAATATTTTTATGTCAAAACAAGACTATCATTGAATCCAAAATGTCGAAAAACCATGAGAGAGGTTATATGGGATTTATTAGAAGTTTGAAAGAATTCCAGAGTTAAAATCTATGTTGAGGAGACTTCGGGTAGAAAAGAATTTGACACTACATTTGTATTTTTTTGATAAGACATTACCTTAGTATTTTGACTATAACTTTTTACCTCGACGTCTAATATGATTTTTTGAAAGTATAAACTAGACTTTAAGGGTTATAAAAGTGTATTTTATGAAATTTTTGTGAATCGGCATCTAACTACATCAAAATCGAGCCAAAAGCCTCGATATAAATTTACCGGCATTCGGACGTCTAAATTGGGGTTCAGACGTCTATCCAGAAACTAAAATTGTACAAAAAAAAAAAAAGAGTTGGTGGCATTCGGACACCCATAGAACTGTTCGGACGATTTTTTCCGTTTTTCAATTCACCATATTTCTTTACCTTAAACGTTGAAATGATGTTGTTCTCCTATGTGTTATTTTTTTTTGGTTTGATCTCAAATAAAAGAAATTTTTGATCATCTTCTTCTCATGAAACCCTCTTTTCTTTTCACGCATCTTATTTTTCTTCTTCTCATTCAAATAGACAAATTCCTAACTTTATTTCGATCGCTGTTGTGAAGACAAACAATTCTATCTTTCAATCTCTATTGCACACATGCATCGCACGAAATGATGAATGAGTTGAAATGATATTTATATTACTTCACACACTACATTACATTTTACATATTTTTAAGCATATATGTGTGTATATATATAAAAATTTAAATATAGCGTATCTCACGATACACGATACATAATATATTTTTTTGAAAAACGATATGCGTTCTGACACGCGTTTTGACAACCTTGGTTAAGATAATAAACATGCTCAATTAATCAATTATTAAGTTTATCTACATAAAGAGATTTAAATTTACGTTTCCATATTTTTTCATATATTTTAAATTTTTTTTCCAATTTTCACTGCATTTCTGAAATGTTTCCAAAACATTTCTGATTCCGAGCTGACCCAAACTATACACCGAAATGTATTTTTTATCCTTGTTGATAAAGCACAATGACAAAAAAGGATTCATCTAGTCGACTCAAAAAATATTGAAACAAAACTTTGTTGAGTTAGTTGAACCAAACTGAGAAATAAAAAAAAGAAAGTTGAGTTGTAGAAAGAAAATCAGTAACTTTGTTGCGGTTGCAAATTAATGCCATAATGAACATTAAAAGGATTGGCCATCAACAAACATAGAAAAACATACAAACTATCCTACTTTATATTATTAGTTAAGATTATATGAGGAGAGCGTACTGATATCTCCAAAGCACAGATATGGATACGAGGTACAAAAATGATACAATACAGATACGGCGATACGACAAAATTTAAAAAAATAAGATACACATACGGTTTAGATATGTATATAATAAAATATATTTCAAATTATTACTATTATCTACCGATTTAATAATAATATATTTTGATAATTCTTTAACATAATAAGAAAAAATAGTCATTTTTTTAGTTTCAAAAAGAAAATATCATATTATATTCACAAAATGAAGTGACTAATTAAAAGAATCAGTTTTGCGCACTTCCGCACCTATGCACTAAAGGCTTACTATCTGTGTCAAAATTTGACTCTTGACTACTATAATGAAAGAAGGGAACCTGAACCTACTCCCTCACCACCAAAACCGTCGGCAGACCTTCTCTTTCAGACACACTCACTCAAGCATACTTACGACTACTTGCCTTCCTGGCTTACTGCACTGACCAAAGATTAACATACCGCAATGTCCAATGGTATGTGAATTCGAAAAGAGATGCTAAAGATTAAATTCAAAAATTATGCATATTGCTTTGATATAAAGGTATTCGCGAAATATCCAAATATTTTATTATTATCAAATACATAAGAGTATCCGATTCGTATTTTCTCACGTATTTTACGAGTATCGTAACCGATATGGATATGCCACCCTCAATGAAGTATTCGTATTTCATAGTCTGATATAGATATTATTGAAGAGGACAAGATTAAATCTTATGATTTGCATAGTATCGTCAAAGTTTTGTTAATAGAAATTATATACTAAATAAGCCTAGCGATCTAGGATTATCTTCATGCTATTTAATATGAAAATTAATATGATTGGTTGTTAACACAAAAAAGAAACATATAAAAAACAAACATATTAAGAGTGATTAAAATTGTACTTTAAAAGAAAGATGACAAATGGCTTGGATGTCTATAATATTAATGAAGTTGGGTTAAAATGCATTTTGTATTAAATAAGGTTAGTATTGTATCTATAATTTGTTTTAAGAGTAAAATAGTCAAACAAAAGTTTTTCTTGTTTGCATACTTTTATTGGTAGTATAATTATAATTATAGATATAGATATATATTACTTTGCAGCTGTCTCCTTTAGAGCATCTCCAATTGAGATTCTTGATTTGGTTCAATGGAATTGAAGGAAACTACAATCTAAAAATTCTGAAATTAACTAATCAAAGTTGGTTATTCAGCAAAAATTGGTAACTTACTCAAATCAAGGAGTGGTTTTGGACACTTTATGCCCATGTGAAGGGCAACTCAATCTCAAATGATTTTCTCATCGGAAAGACTTGCTCTAATGCAAAGATTTTGCAATCCAAGTAGCTACGACAATGAAGCTTGCTTGTTGGCTTCAAAGAAAATTGAGATTGGCCAGATTAATAGCATTGTTCAGAAGGAAAATCCAAGAATCCTCAATATGAGAAGGTGGAACCCAATCCACATTTCTAGGCAGGGAATATATAAACCCATCTCAGATATGTACTCCGGGGAAAAGGGGGCCTCAAAACACATAAGTGCAAGAGTAATATTAGTAATATACTGTTATATAGTGATACCCACATGCATACATAATTGATTTTTAAGCAATCTTTGTCCACAAGCACGAATGTCGAAGCCCATACTTAGTCAAACCATTATAGAACGTAGAATATAAGAGGACTAAATAATTAAATACTGTACAGTATCTAAATAAAGGCACCTCCGTTTAGTTCAGTAGTGAAGTTTTTGGGCTGCCAAACAAGATTGGGCCTAGTCTGTTTATTTGGCCTGCATTACTTTCAAACTATTGTTGTTGGGGTTGTACGGGGGAAAATTTCTGCAAACGTGGGTTTATGGTCCACTTGAAAGGGATATGGTTGCTATGAATTGCATTGCAGAATTGCTAATCTAGTGGGTCATTATTTCAGCATTTGATTGTGTAATAAACAGGTTGGAGATTTATCCTTTTTGCTGCCTGCTTCAACTCCATTCTTAGTGGGTGAAGAAAACAGCAGTGGAAGAAAAATGGGAAAATCTCTTTTACTGGCTGCCCTCCAGAACACTATTAACACACTGGTGTGTCATCCTCTAGGTGCAGAGGATTACAATCTTTTTTTATTTTCATCTGTTTAGGCTTTGTGGCTCTTTCAAACAACAAAAAAGGGACATTTGATCATCAGGAAAAAAGTAGAAATTACTTAGAAATACACTTGATCAGTAATAAACCTTAAATACTCCAACTTCATCTATTTATGATTAAGATAAGCAATGCTTTATTTTCCTGGTAAGTTTTAAGACTAGATATATTACGCCAACATTTATCAGAATCATAAGGGAATATTCTAGGAATGCTAACAGCATTAATCGAGGGGAACCTATCCTTTAAAAGACAATTTAACTCCATAAATTCATAAAAGTAACACTGGAGAAAAGATGAAAGCCATTTTTGTAACAAGAATAAAAGCCAGAAAAACTACCAGTAAAGCCAAATGGAAGTGACTGCGATTGAACAAAGACCTGTCTTCTTGGCTCAAAGCGTATGGTCAAGGTGTGTACAAGGAATGGATCCAGTGGCAGATCATCTAGTTTCACAGGCCGAAATGATGAAAATGGTACTCTCACCTGCCACAACATATACAAGAAAACGTTTATCGTAAGATTCTCACATGCCAATCAAATGTGGACAAATGAAGCAAATCGAAGTCCGATTGGTTTCACTAAAAATCTAACTGAACCACCAGTTTTATTTTTCAAATACAAAAAAGGAGATTGCTCACCCTGCAAAATCCTACTTTTGTGCTAATTCTTGCAAAATACATTTTGCTCTGGGTTGTGTCTGCTGAAGGACCAGCCTCAAGAATTAAAACATAAGATCTTCCATTCCCACCAACAGAAAGTAAAAGACCTTCATACCTAAATATGGCAGATTTGATTATGGAAGCAGTAATCAGTCTTTGCAGTTGAAAAAGACAAGTAAGGGAAAACAAATGTGTTGGAAACTATAATTGGTAAGAACAATGGCCCACGAATTATGCGAGTAAAACATACCTGTCAAGAGTGCAACCCAAGGGAAGCGAAAGTTGTTTTGAAAGTTCCACATACCCTCCCCTCGTGAATACATAGCCTGTTGTCAAAAAAGAGAAACAGGAAAAGAAAGAGCTAAACATCAAATCTTCTTTACATTTCTTCAGACTGTGTACTTTGAAGAGATTTTTAGACTCATTCACAGAAGCCATTTTCTTGGGTGAGTTTGTCACCAACATCTCTCTAGACTACCTAAATCATTTGCTCAAATTTATGTATTACGAGAGTTAAAAAATTGGAAAGCATAATTGCCTCAAAAATCTCCAATAACAGCATGTATATGCCTTTCTCAAATATTTCAGGGCCTAATTGAGCATGTGGTTTAATTCACCTGATATTCATTATTCTTACCTGAGAAAACTGCATCTGCACTCTCAGTGAACTCAAATTTAGCGTCCATTCCTCCATCATACTTAGCAGCAACCTCATCCTGGAAATAAGTTCCTAGACGGACATCCCACCCATTCAATGAATCTGCAGTCTTGAATTTTGCAAGTAAAAGCTTGCTTTTGCTGCTTTTTCCTGCTCGTAGTTGTGCTAGTTTATTGTTCTGGTCCTTCAAATTTTGGCCATTCAATGAATTAATGTGCCATTTAGCAATCAACCATACAAACTTTGTAACTAAGAGACATCACCAAAATTCCTCGTGTTTGAATTCATTAAATGATAAAACAAACAATTTTAAAACAACCAAGGATTAAAATTTTATTTCGGTGCATTGTTACGGTCATCTAGGAAATTGAAACGTTTCGAAAATGCTTCAGAAATAGAATGGAAACCAATAAAAAAAAATTTGAGAATTTATTTTCACAATATTTCAAAATATTGGTCGAAATATACCAAAACATATCAAAACATTTGGGGAAAAATGTCAAAACATCTTGAAATCTCTCGAAATATTTCGAAACACCTCAAAATATTATGAAACAACTCAAAACATTCGAATTTCGATTCAATTACTAATTTGCTTCAGTTTCCTCAGAAAGAGAAATATAAACGCTTCAGCCGTTTCGAAATGAAATTTTGATCTTTGACTAAAACTGAATTGGACCCTGCAGTCTGACTGCTTGGACCAAGACGTGGTCCAAAAATATGAAGTTACCATTCTACTTTGCAAGGTTGCAAGAACCAATGAGTGAAATGGCAACCTGCATGAACCATTTATAGTTCAAACGAACAGTCTGGTTAGGGTCTAAAGAATTAGTATTTAGTGGAAAATAAGTTAGCTAAATGTCCCAGTCTCATACTGCTAGAACCTCTGTGTGGCTTTGTCACAACCATAGGATCAATTGATGACCAGCTACCATGTAGGCTGGCTGGCGGATGGTGGAGGTTGACTCATTATTATTATTATTTTTTAACTACAAGCTTCCTTTTGAGTATTTTCAGTGTAACCTTCTGAGGGTATCTTCACTATAATTTATGATTTCCATGTTATCATATGTGCAGGTAATTGGTTTTCTCTGTTTTATTGTTAAGAAAAATATCACTCTCTATTTGTGAATTCTGATAAATGCATCAGAGAAGTTTGAACTCTCTTCCTCTGTCACTCCCTTTATTCGAAGTACATTCATGTGAGCCTGTGCATGTTTCTGTGCACATAAATGCAGCAAAAGCCCAGTGAACATCTTGCAATTCAGGAAATCCAAGGTATGAGGCTTAGAACATAAATTAAAAATGGTCGATTAATTTGGAAATTCTTAAACACTTTTGAGCAGTTCCGAGCTATTAGGTTACTTTGGGCCTATTTCACACTAGGGGAGGCTCTACAGTATTTGGAATTCCAACAATAGTAAATAAACAAGACCATACGATTTTTTAAAATTGCCAAAAAAAAGTATGAGGTGATCATGTCATGACGGTTGGTTCTGGTTTGTCTGAAAGTTGAATGGCTGATCCCCGTTCCTACTTAGTCTCTATTCTAGTTTGTATAGCAATCCAAATTTTAAAACATTGTCAGACAACAAAAGCCTAGATTGTGTCTTGATGCACACCTCAAACACCCAGACCTTGTATTCGGACAGGCTAGAACCTTGAACAGATTCTAGGCTGACCAATAAAACTATTTCAAGTAACATTAAAACCAATGTAAGCTCCAAATCCAAACCAGGAGAGGTATTAGTGGTTTTTAATCAACTATGAAACTGCACAGGCTCATCTTCTGCACTGAAACTCTCTCTCTCTCTCTCTCCTGATTTAGAATCCCCATCTGAATCTTAATGCCAGCCATAAAAATTGCACCCTAAATTAACTGAGATCTTTTGTTTAATCCCTCAATCTTAAACAAGTGAAACGATATCCATAAATAATGAATAGCACATTCAATTCCAACCCAATATTCAAACAATAGGTAAGTCCTCAAAGCTTGTGCAGGGACACACACACATGATGACACTACATAAATACAGACCAAATGAAGGTTAGAGAAGGGAGGAAACCTGAAACGCTTTGGTAAGGTTGTAAACGCCCTGATGATCAACTCTATTGAGATCTCCGGTGATAGAGGAACGAGCTGTGGCACAATATATTATTTTGTTGCAACCTTCCACAGCAGCTTTGAGAGTGGAGGGATCACCCACATCCCCAGGCACAATCTCCACAGATGTTGGAAGCATGTCCACCACTTCTTGATCTGCCTTCCTTACTAGAGCCTGACTAGGTATGGTGAAACCTTTCAAGTCTTATTCAATTGCAAGTGCAAAAGTAGATTTCATTTAGCACATATGAGAATGTAAAAGGATAACACATAGTGTGGGCATTATCGAAGACAGATATGGTATTTTGGGGTAGTTACAGCCATAGGTCATGCCAGACTAGGACATGAGCTCAAGCATAACAACCTAAATTAAGCATCTATATAATAAAGTAGAACACGTTTTGAACCCCAAAACTTATCTCAAGCTTTTCGCGGATCAGATCAATTCTGGTTGTTTTATTGTCTATAGTAGTTACCACATCTAAAGAATCCAATTATTTTTTTGAATATATTTGGGACTGTTTGAACCTTTTTCCTATATCACTCCATACAATAGAAAATATAGGTCAAGAAATTTGTTTATTAAACTATTGGCAATTTGCAAGGAATTAAGTTGTATAAAAAATTCCATCATAAAACTTTATGTTGAATGCTGTGGTTGCAGAATCCTATAAACAATTTTAAGAGATGCAAGAAGTGATTGAAATGGTGGTCTCCATGGAGGTGAAGGTGGCCCTCTTCCCCTTGTTCCCAGTGGGCAGCTTCCAATGTGAACGTGCCAAGGTTGTCAAGCTATGATGGAGACCCAACTTTGATACCATGTTAGAGCATCCAACCCAAAATCAATTGACAATGGGTGGAGCAGCCTCTCAAGTATATAAGTCAAGCTCTCTTAACGGTTCTTATGTTGAAAACTCGCGACACATAACATCTCAAGAAAAGACAAAAAAAAAGGACTTAAATAGTTTGTTGGAATTCCAATTTAATGAAGTATGAACAGTGTGTCCCGTAGAGGGGAAAATAGAATGAGTGTTTTAAGTATTTTTAAGGGATTTTAGTGTGTGTAAGAAGCTTACATGTGATGATGCATGAATAAAGAATTTTTACTAAGTATGAGTTCGGGAAGCCAAGTCGGGCAATGAGGCCAGAGCTCTGAAGCCCAAATCCCGAGCTCCTCTCCGATGAAAGACCAGAGAAGTCAAGGAAAGAACAGCTAGACAGAAAGAAGCGTCCACAAAAACAGCAAAGTGGCAGTGATCAAGGTGTGAAACTCTAAACCACCCAAGATCTCCTCTTAAAATCAAGAAAAGTTCTGTGGTTAACGAGCAAGGATCTCGCTGAAGATCCCTTAGTGATACAAATCGTGCTATAAATACTATACTTTGCCTCCTTGAGAGAAAAAAAAAGGAAAAAAATCGAAGATCATAGAAGAAACTCTGTAAGTTAAATCCTCCACGAATAAAGAGAAAAAGGGCCAGAGCCTCCATTGAAGAGTGGATTAGCCGAGCTCCCGAGTTAGTGAACCACTATATTTTTGTTGTGCACATCACCCCAATCCCCTAGTAATTATAAACACAATCCTCACGAGCTTTGTAGCTCAGATCCAAGTCGATAAGCATAATCCATATCCTCTGCTCATCCACTTCAGTTTACACCATCAGTTTGGCGCCGTTTGTGAGAAACGATTGTTCTCGTTGCAAATACACTAATCCTTCAGTACCTGATGGTCTCAACCCGAAATATGAGCAGAAGCCAAGTCAATCCCCCTCGGATGCAGCACCAGCAGGAGAATACTAGCAGACAACATGAAGATCCACAAGATTTCTTCCCCACCGTCGACGTTAATCCTCCTATGGTGGATCTTCCCACGAACAACGAGCTGGAAGCCCTCCGTTTGGTCAATCAATGCCTGCTAAAGTAGAATGAAGAACTCCTGAAGTTTTTACAGCGATCACAGGAGAAGCAACCAGCCCAAGGAGGCCAGAATGATCCCCTTCACTGGGAACAGCAACCTCTCGACCTGTTCAGGGAAGCCGACGAAGGAGGAGAAAATAGCTAGGCTCCCTAACCTCCTCTAAGGAATGGAGACAATGAAGAGGTACAAAGCCGAAGTAATGAGAATGAAAAGAACAACCTTCGCCCAGTCCAACAAGAGCGAAATAACCAATATTGGGAGCAACGATTCAAAGATATTCAACAGGAACTCAGCCACATGAAGGAGGCTGTGCGGAGTAAAACCCCAGTAACAATGGACGCCTTAGTATAGCAAATCGAGTCCCCGTTTACTCCTGGGATATTGCATTTCCCCCTCCCGCCGAAATTCAGAATGCCACAAGTAGAAGCTTTTGATGGAACCAGAGACCCTATGGACCACCTGAATATCTACAAAAATCAAATGGAGTTGCACAGATATCAAGATCTTGTTTGTTGCCGCGCCTTTGAGATAACCTTGAAAGGATTAGCCTTAGTATGGTTTAACCGACTTCTCCTGGTCTCGATCTCCTCGTTTAAAGAGCTCTCGATATCCTTTGTATCTCATTTCATTGGAGCTCAAATATACAGAAAGCCAAGCTACTATTTACTGAATGTGAAACAGGGACCTCAGGAGAACCTAAGATCCTATGTTCAAAGATTCAACTGAGTCCCTAAAAGTTGATGTCCCAGACGAAAAATTTGCAATCACTGCTTTCATAGCAGGATTGGGAGTACAGTTGAAAGATTTGATGTTCTCCATATCTAAGAATCCTCAAGCACGCATGGCTGAGGTGTTGGCCAAAGTAGAGAAATATATCAACGGCGAGGAAGCTCTCTTCTCAAAGGTAGGGAGCTCGTCTTCACAGAAAGGAAAGGAGAAGGAGGAAAAGAAAAGGGATCGAAGTTCCAAGAAAGAAAGAGAAAGAAACAGGTCTCCAAGAAGAGACAGATCTCCTAGGAGAGATAGAGAACGTTCTCCAATAAGGAGGAAAAATGTCAAGGATCGTCTAGGTCCCCCATAGCCTGAACTACAACTGAAGTATGTTCCTCAGCAGTATACCCCACTCACTGCCACAGTGTCCCAAATCTTATATGAGGTGCAGAATGAAAAGTTCTTAAGATGGCCTCCCCGAATAAAGGCAGATCCAGCAAAGAGGGATCCTACGAAATACTGCGAGTACCACAAAGATCACGGTAATCATACTGATGACTGCATCCAGCTGAAGAAGGAGATTGAGTTCTTAATCCAAAGGGGGCAGTTGCGTCGTTTTATTGCCCATGATACCCAGAATAGAGCTCCACCGCCCCTAGTGCCTCAGCAGCAAGCCCCTATGCAGCATCAGCAACCCCTAGGGGAAATCAGAGTAATATCAGGAGAGTTTACAGGAGGAAGGGAATACAACTCAGCTAGAAACGCACACTTCTAAAGAATCAGAGCTGATGAAGCACTGGAAGTACATACCGTATCCAAGACTCCACGTTTGGACTTACCCATCACTTTCTCAGATTTAGATCTGGAAGGCTGCCAGCATCCCCATGATGATCCTTTAGTAGTAAGAGCGCTTGTTGCCAACAAAACTGTTCATCGAGTATTGATTGACAACGGGAGCTCTGTAGACATCATCTTTGCACTAGCATTTGATAAGATGGAGATAGGCAGAGAAAAGCTCAAGCTCATAACTACCCACCTGTTGGGATTCTCAGGAGAAAGAGTATTACCATTGGGGTCGGTGCAACTCGTGCACACAATTGGGGACCCTCCCGGTCAGATTTCCACTTTTGTAAAATTTTTGGTAGTTGATGCTCCTTCAACGTACAACATGTTGCTTGGGAGACCTTCCCTCAACGCAATGAGAGTTATACCCTCAGCTTACCACTTGGTTATAAGTTTCCTATAGAGAATGGGGTTGGTACAATCCAAGGAGACCAATGTGTGGCACAAGAATGCGACTTGGTGTCTGTTAAAAGGAAAGAGGTCGAAAATATTCAACTGGACGAGCTCGACATGAGGGACGAGCTCGACACCAGACCAACACCATCGGAAGAGCTGGAACCAGTCCAGCTTGATGAAGAACCAGAAAATCTTGTCTACGTTGGATCCAAGCTGAGCAGAGAAGTTAAAGACCTCCTTATTAAATTCCTGAAAGAGAATATAGGAGTGTTTGCCTGAAAGCAAGAAGACATGACGGGAATCGACCCTTCAGTCATCTTACACAAGCTCAGCGTGAACCCAGCCAGCAATCCCATTAAACAAAAGAGAAGAAGTTTCGCCCCCGAACGGTAGAAGACCATTACTGAAAAAGTAAGCAAGCTTTTGCATACCAAAACCATCAGAGAAGTAGATTATCCCACTTGGTTGGCTAACGTGATCCTTGTTAAGAAGACCAATGGTAATGGCGTCTCTGTATCGACTTCACCAATCTCAACCGTGCTTGCCCTAAGGACAGCTTCCCTTTACCTAAGATAGACTTGATCGTAGATGCCACCGCAGGGCATGAACTCCTGAGCTTCATAGACGACTTCTCTGGTTACAATCAGATTAGAATGGATCCCAGCGACCAGGAGAAGACCTCCTTTGTGACTGAGCAAGGAATATACTACTATCAAGTAATGTCTTTTGGACTAAAGAATGTAGGAGTCACTTACCAACGCCTGTTAAATCGAATGTTTTAGAAGCAGATTGAGACGACAATGGAAGTATACATTGATGATATGCTGGTAAAGTCATTAAAGGCAGAGCTCCATGTTAAGCACTCAGCTGAGTCATTTCAGATCCTTAAGGAATACAAAATGAAGCTCAATCTTGCCAAATGTGCTTTTGGAGTATCTACGGAAAAGTTCCTCGGTTTCATAGTCAATAGCAGGGGGATTGAAGCTAATCCAATTAAAGTTTAAGCAGTAATGGATATGAAACCGCCCTCCAACACCAGAGAAGTTCAGCGTCTGGTAGGAAGAATAGCAGCCCTAAGCCATTTTGTATCCAGATCAACAACAAATGCCAACCATTTTTTCAAATCTTAAAGAAGGCATTTCAATGGAATGCCTGATGTGAGGAAGCGTTCAGAGCCCTGAAGGACTATCTAGGCACTCCCCCAGTTCTGGTTAGCCCCTTAGAAGGGGAAGTGCTTATCCTTTACTTAGTTGTTTCAGACGTCTCAACCAGTG